ACATGTCTGTAGTCCCAACACTCAAGAGGTAGAGGCAGGAGGGTCACTGAGAGTTTGAGGCCAGTCTTTGCTAGAGAGCAAGACCTATCTCAAAAAATAACCAAAGAAACAACAACAACAAAATACTTATGATCCACTTGAGTTAATTTATACCTATGATGTAGGTAAGTGCTCAAATTAACCTATTTGCATGTGGAAGGCCAATTTTTCCAACATTTTTTGTTAAAAAGATAATTACTTCCTACAGAATTACTTTGGTATCCAGGTTCAAAAACCAATTGATTATAAATTTAACAGTTTATTTCTGGACTTTCAATTCTGTCCTACTGATTATCTCTCTGCTTCCATTTATTTCATTTGTCCCTCCCTCCCTCTCTCCCTCCATCTGTATCAGTCTGTCTCTATGCCAGTGTCTCATTCTTTTAACTCATCTCTGTAGTAGTTTTGAAATCAAGAAGTGGTAGTATGGTATGCTACCTTTTTGATTTAGTTAGCACACAAAAGAATTGGTTTCATTATGACATGTTCACATGTGACCACTGCTATACTCTTCTCCTGTCCCTCATTTTGTTATGTTCTATTCCAAACCTGTCCTGGTTACTGGGGGTCCTCAGTTTTCTTTCTAGGATCTTATCCATTTCTGCAATAAAGCCTGCTACAGCTTTGCTAGAAGCTACACTCAGTAGACTCATTCTGGGAAAAATGATGTCTTCATACTGTCTTCTAATCCATGAATATGATCATTTGCTAGACTTTCCTAGGGGGACCTCAAGGGAGCTGAGGGCCTTGTAACATGCTGGGCAAGTAGGCTGCCACCAGGGAGCAACATCTCCAGCATCCAAGACACTTTTAAACAATATGCATGATCTCAGAAGAACATTTAAAAACAATTCTATTTTATCAATGATTCTCAATGGAATCTTTAATTCCATGCAGAAGGCTGAAAATCACAGACAGGTGCCAAGTGTGGTTAAAATAACTTTTTCCTTTGAATCACATGACAGTAAGTTGTCAACTGTTTGTCAACAGTAAGTTGTCAAATAGGGGTGATACTTCCAATTACTATATTTTCCCTCACAAGCTAATTAAGCTGTCAAAGTCTGAGAATGCTACACTTCTTCCATCCACACTCATACCTCACCCGGTGTCCTGATCTCATGTTTTGCAGTGAAAGGAGCTGGCTCAGGCTCCCACACTGCCTTTTCTCAGATTCTTTCTGCACGAAGCAACCAAATCTCAACTTCCTTCACTCTGGTCACATCATGATTTGTGAGGATGACAGGCACTTGTGTGATTGTACATTCCTCGGCCTCGGTGCCTGATATTTCCACAGGACTGGGTCCAGGTCAATCAGCTTCGGCAGGAATGAAGTTGCTTCCCTCATGTGGCACATCACATAGAGTAGACCCTCACCCTGCTGCTGCTGAAGACAGTCCCTCTGATCCCTCCCCTTAGGCTCTCCACCATGAAACTTCTCTTTTGCCCTTTTCATTGAGTAACTATTTTGTGGACAGCTACTTCATAAATTCTAATTCCTTACCAAGTTTCCAATGTGCTCACCTAATTAAATATAAATAGTTGGATAATTTTCTATTTGAAACTTTATAATCTGCTGTGACAGTTACTGTGATGCCCTAGGTCCCAAAATTTTGGGGGGGAGGGGCGGAAGAATTCCTTCATAATATCACTTTTGTGTGGCCTCAGTCAATCCTTGACAGGCATGTATACTCAGGCCTGGCTTTTTATGTGGGTGCTGAGGATTCAAACTTAGATCCTCATGCTTGTAGATCAAGCACTCTTACTCACTGTGCCATCTTTCTAGGCTCTCTACATCTGTATTTCTGAATCTACTGATACATGGTAAAAAAAAAAACCCAACAACTATGCATTCACACAAGTACATTTAATTATAGTAAAACATCAGTTATGCTTTCTGTACCTATAGATTCATTTTTAAAAGATATGCTTATTTTTAATCTGATTGCATGAAGCAATCTCTCCACTACTGTGGAGTCCCTTACGCTTCCTCCCAGAAATGGCTCTCACAGCTCCCGTCAGTCATCTCTGCACACTGATGCTCTCCTCTAGGCTCTGACACCACAGTGTCCTGCTCCCTGATCCTGAGACCCACCCCCTGCCCTGCCTGCATACTTACAGCCTCTACAGTTTCTACTGTAGTACCTCTTCTGCCAGTCCCTAGTTCCAGGCCTGCTGGCCTAAATGAGGAAGAGAAACTTTTCATTTTTTTTAGCTTTCATATTAATAACCGAGCATCTAAGAGCCATGTGGATTGCTATTTATTTTTAAGGCAAACCCTTTGTGATCTGTTTCCACAGCATTTCAAGAAAATTGAAGTTTACAGTCCTTGTTTTTATATATACATTTGCTTTTATTGCAAATGTATATATAATTAGTAAAAAAACAAAAACAAAAAAACTAGTTTGTGTGTGTGAATGTGTGCATACATGGAGGACAGAGGACATCATTGGCTATTCCTCCCTAAGTATTACCCATCGAGATTTTTGTTTTTGTTTTTTGAGACCGAGACTCTCACTGACCTGGAACTCACCAAGTAGACTAGGCTGGCTGGCCAATGCCATGGAGTTCCACCTGTCTCCGCCACCCCAGTCCCCAGTGTTTGGATTACAAGTGTGTGCAACCATCTCCAACTTTTTTATGTGAAGTCTGGGGATCGAACTCAGGTCTTCTACAAGCAGTTTTCCAACTGAACCATACCCCAGTCCAGAATACTGTAGCTTTAAGACTTCTGAATGTATTTACAGGAACAGCATCTGTTAATAAAGGCTCCTTGCTAAATCAATAGCCCAGATAACGCCTTGAAAATCTTGTTATTAGTGATTCATGTCCATTAGAACAAGCCCTGCTCTGAAGATGTCACTGTGTGAGGCCCAGAAGGCCTACAGACAAAAAAGTCTTCCACTGCTGTGTGCTGACTAGTCCTTTGTGCAAATAATATAGTCCTCCCAGAGAGGCAAAAGTTCAGAACAGGCTCTGTACAGACAGCTAAAGGCACATGGGTCCAGCTGATAGAATGGTGTATTCTGCAGTCTCTCCCAAGATGGAAAAAGCTCAGTGCAATTGCACTTGTACTGAGGCACACAGAGACGACTAAGCATTTCACTGTTTCCAGTTCTGTTCCTTTCTCAAAAAACTGAATGGTGTAAATACAATGGCACTTTTCCAAACATACATGATTAGACTTCAATTCAATACTATTAAATACTATGAAGTCACCACAAATACTTGTCAAAGAGTGTTTATATTAACAAGAAAATATCCATTATTGACTACTAAGAAAAAGAGAAAATATAAAAAATTACATATTTAACTGCCTCAATTTTATAACTATTATTAACATATATTTATGAAATTACAAGCATACAGATTTAGATAAAACTACGTTTATATTTATATTAAAATGTTCCACTAGGGGTTGGAGAAGCGGCTCAGAGATTAAGAGCACTGACTGCTCTCACAGAGAATCCGGGTTTGATTCCCAGCACCCACATAGTGACTAACAATCATCAGTAACTCCAGTTCCAGGGGATCCGAAGCCCTCTTCTAACCTCTGTAGGCACCACATGACATGGGTGCACTTACATACACGCAGGCAATATACTTGTACACATAAAATAAAAATAATATTTAAAAAATGCTCCACTAAACAAAGCAGGGAAAAACATAAAAGGAAATTTAGATAAAGTGTTGACACACATGAACCTGGGTTAGGTGCACTGGTATGCACTGAATATATTTTATTTAAAATTTTATCTAAATACTTTTATTTTACGTGTATGGATGTTTTGCCTGCATTATGTGTGTGCTGCAATGCCTGCTGAGATCAGAAGAGGGCACTGATCTCCTAGAACTGGAGTTGTGAATGGCTGTTAGTTGCCATGTGGGAACAGTACTCTGGGTCCTCTGCAAGAACAGTTGGTGCTTTTAACCAAGGAGCCATTGCCCTAGGCCCTCTAAGTATGTTTTATACACCTGTGCATATGTACTTGAAATCTTAATTAAAAAGTATGCAACATTAGAAAATAAACTCTGAAAGATTATATGCCAAAATGTTCATAATGGATTCTGACCTAAGCTACCATTTATTAACTGATATTGTTAACACTTGCTTTTTTCCTCCAAAAGGATCTCATGTACCCAGCCTAGTCTCAAACTTACTATGTAGCTAAGGCTGGCCATGGGCCCTGATTTTCCTTTACCTCCCAAGTACTGGGACTGCAGGGGTGTGCTACCATGTACCTTTATGTTTATTTATTTATTTATTTTTTTTTTGGTCTTTTTGAGACAGGGTCTCCCTGTAGTCCCAGCTGGCCTGGATTTGCTACGAAGACCAGAGATCTACCTGCCTCTGCCTCCTGAGTGCTGGGATTAAAGGCGTGCGTCACCTTTCTAAAAATTTTTACAGCAAACATACATATAATTCGAAAGGAAAAAGTCAGGAAAGAGCTGTTTGTGTATTTTATCCTATTGATCATTTGTTCTATAAGTGTTTGCTGAGCACCTGCACCAAGCAGGCTGCAGAATCAAATGCAATGACCATAGGGGCAAGCTCAGGTTTCATGGGCCAAAACAAGACGACACTGAATAAAAAATCAGGGAAGTGAAAACATCGGTAATTCCCATCAGGCATGACTCAGAATTAAGGGCATAAGGTACAAATCTGATGGTCCTCTGACTGTGAGAAAACAAGGTCTGCAGTAAGCACCTCACCACATCTTAGTGGCTACAGAGCTACCCACTGAACTCTCTTCAAAATGCCATCCAGCTGCTGTAGAAAGTGGAAGGGCCACAGACACTCATCTGTCCCTGCGCTGGGGCCTCAGGAGAGGCACAGGGCCAGGGGTTCTGTGCTTAGCTACATGGCTGAAGACCCAGAGGGAAGGCATATGGCTTCTTTCCTTAAAAAAACAGCAGGAACAACAAAAGAAACCAACCATTTTCAAGGTGTTAAAGAATCTCACCTGCAGAGGCACCAGAGGACAAATCCAAGTCCACAGTAAGGGTCCAGGCAGATGGCCACTTCTCTAGAGGGGTAAAGCTCACACTGCAGCTTAATAGAACGGCAAAAGGCACTGGTGGCTGCGTGGGACATCTGCAAGACATCAAGGCAGTAAAAAATGATTGACTGGACACCCAGCACCCAATGACATCTGTGGGACAATATGGCTGTGTTAAATGCATGATACTTAGTATTAGATGCACAAAAGATGTTCTTAAGACCACAGACAACTACATCAAGTTTGGGTCATACTGTTTGGGAAGAATGGTAGTTGATGTTCCCATAAGTCTTTTTTTCCTTTTCTTTGCATTTGGGGTGGGGGTGGGGGTAGGGTCTCACATTTTGTAGCCCAGGATGGTCTGGAACTCACTATGTTGCAGAAATTTGCTTCTAACTTGTGACAACCTTTCTGCCTAACCTTCTGAGTTATAAAGATTACAGGAACGAGCCATTGTATTTCCCAGTCTTCCACTTTTCATCAAATAAACCACACCTAAAACCTTTTGGCTCTTGAGCACAGGAATACTACTACTCTGGATCTGAGAAGCAGACTATAAACACAAGGGTTGTGTCCTTCATGATAGCCTGCAAGTAGGTAAAGAAGGTGAAGAGGTTCATGTCCACCTTTATAGTGGAGATTGGGCCTTATTCTTGTGAGGGTCAGGGCCCCCCCACAGCATCTTCCTACAATACACGGGTGCCTATAGTTTATGAGAGGTGAATCCCAGGTTTGTGTTTAAGAAATGACAGCTCAGAGAAGTGAAAGAACTTGCTGAAAGTCATGTGATGAGATCCTGAGGTAGGGCACTGGACTTCTCAGGCCCTTCCTCTGTGACTATTCCATCATAAGATGATAGTCAAAATCCTGTCCCTGCCCAGCATGGAGGCCCCAGTGAAGCTCTCTCCTTACAGTCCTCTCCTCCTTTCCCATCTCCAAACAGAACCCCCAGTAAGCAATGTGAAAGACTTTGAAACACTGTAGGTTATATCTAACAAAATCAATGTTCTTTTGAGACCTTGATAGTCAAGCCAACTTCTGAAGAAAAGAGTGCTCCAAGACACACAGAAACTGTACCAGACAGCACGGCTTTAACGTGTCAGAAGCCAACTGTGAAGCAGTGTGCTCTTGAGAGCTTACTGCAGAGACAAACAGTACAGGACACGGCAACAGGCAAAAACATGCAGCCCAATACCTGGTTTCCCATTCATCCAACACAAGTAAGAGACATGAAAGAAGCTGGGGTGGAATTCCTTTCACTGTGAAGCGCTGGGTCACTGACAGTTCTGCTCAGGGAAAGGCTGCATTGTGAATACTCTACTGAATTTGTCCCAAGTGTAGTTTGTTTCTCCATTGCTGTGACAAAACACTCTGACCACTACCAACTTGGGGAGGAAAGAGTTTATTTGTCCTACATCTCCCAGGTCACAGTTCATCAGGGAGCCCAAGGTAGGAACTCTGGGCAGGAACCTGGAGGCAGGAGCTGGAGCACAGGCCATGGAGGATCACTACTTAATGACTTGCTCCCCTGGACCCTGCTCAGCCTGCTTTCTTATGCAACACAGACCCATCCACCCAGGGGTGGCACCACCCACAGAGTGCTGGGCCCTCCCACATCACTCAACAATCAAGAAGGTGTCCCATAGACATGGCCACAGACCAATCCAATGAAGGCAATTTCCCAATTGAGGCTCCCTCAACCCAGATGTGTCAAGTTGACACTAAAGCTATCCAGCACACAAAGTAATGGAGAATTATTATAGAGTGAATATATACACGCATATATATTAATATATGCGTGTATATATATGTGTATGTATTTTAAAACTGTTTTATTCGTGCATGTGTGTCTATGTGTTACCCCTGGAAGCAGAAGAGGATGCTGGACCCTCTGCAGCTGCAGTTTTAGGCAGATGTGAACTATCTGATACAAACTGATGAGTGCTCGGACTGACCTCAGGTCCTCTGGAAGAGCAGCAAGTGCTCATAACTTCTGAGCCATCTTTCCAATCCCCTCTCTCCTCTCTCTCCCCTCTCTCCTCTCTCTCTCTCTTTCTCTCTCTCTCTCCAAGCTCTTAGAGCCAAACTATTTGCTTAAAGGGGAAACAAAGCTGATTTATAAAATGTTCCTGGATCGCTCTGCTCTAGGACCAGCTCCATTCTCCCTGCTCACATCAACTCTGTTTAGTGAGTCATACCCTCTCCACGGTGTTCCCATCCCCGCCTTGGGCCTAGGCTCCCTCCTGCTTGTCCCACCTGAGACCTCTGGACTAGCCTGACAAATATACCTCTTACCACTCATCAAAAAATTTTTTTTTGTTTTTTTGCAACAGATTAAAACTACTACAGAGATCCACAACTGGTTAAATGCAGCCAATGTCTGTGAGATGCCCAGCCCTAAGCAAGCAGCACATCTACAATGCAATTTCTACACCTAAGGCTCAGGGAACATTGTGGAACAGGGGTTAGAGAGAATATGAATACATTGCTCAACTCTCTCCAGCAAAGCTTCTTCATGAAACAGATGGTGATCAACCCAAAAAGCCACAACTGATCAAAACATAGAGAATAAGATACTGCAGAGTGTGTATCCCTGGATAGGACTCCTATATTTAAACCTCTGCCACCCAAGAATAAGAGGGAAGATTATAAGAGCCAGGGATGGTGGATGACCATAAAGATACAATATTTTCTAGGTGGCAGGGAACTTGCTCATATAAACTTACAGCAATGGTGACAGCATTTACAAGACCCATGAAAATTCAAACCAGGCAAAAACTGAGCACAGAAGTGGGGAAATGGGTAAGAAGCCCCAGTCTAGCTGATGAACTATTAGCAGCTGATCACTGCTGGGTGAGGGAGAGTTGGTCTTCTTTAAAGGAGTGATGCTAACAGGCTGACCAGGATCCAGTGGATGAACTCACATGGAGAGACATCTGGGTACACAAACTTGACTTGATAGGCCTTAATATATATAGCAGAATGAATTAAATCAAGAGGTGGTGGGGGGATGGGAGGTGCAGATAGGGCAGAGGGCCTAAATATGATTAAGATGCATTGTATGAAATACACAAAAATTCAATTAAAAATAGAAAAAAAAATTCTCTAAGCTTCCATCTCCCTGAACCAAGAGTTAGTAAAATCCTACTCCAAGTACTCAGGATGAGGAACCAGAGCAATCTTTATTGCTTTGAAGCTCTGTGCCGGACACTATGCATGACTAGAAAAGGCTCTTCAGCTCGCTGGGTAATGCTGCCATGCTGAGTGCTCACTCTGTCAGACATCGTTAGGGTTAGGGATTCTTTTTTTAAAGGGATCTGGTTACAGTGGTGCACTGTCTGCAATCCCAGCACTTAGGAGGCTGAGGTGGGAGGACTACTGCAAATTTGAGGCCAGCCTGGGCTACAGAGTGAGATCTAGGCCAGCCTAGTATACATAGAGACCCTATATCAAAAAAACAAAGAAAGAATGGCTATAGGCCCCCATAGGAACTCAGCATGCCAAGTGGAAGCTCAGACACTGCTGGTAACTGAAAGGTCGGCCAGCACTCTGTCAAACATTACTTCTAATGAGAGAAGGGTGCTCACGTCTCCTACTAGAGCTATAGTGTCTGCTGGATCTCAAGAGTGGCTTCACCAGAGAGACAAACAGGTCAGGAAAGAAACAACTAAGAAATGAATGCTCCATATCTAAGCTTAGCCCAGTTCTGGGCCCTGCCAATGTCATCAACCAAAGAGCCTGAGCCTGATCATCTCAAAGTGAGAGCTCCCAATTTTTATGAGATAACCTCAGATTTGGATAATATTATTTTTCCCCAAACCCAAGCAACAAACTAACAAAATGCTCTAAGACAGACCCTGAGAATGGCTGTCTGAATGCGTATGAGTAGGAAGTGGACTGCCTCAAGCGCATTTTCTCATTTTGGGGATGCACTGTGACTTAATCTAAGCAGACCTGCTTTTGGTGCCATTTTGCTTTGGCTGATGTTAATGGACAGGTGACTCATAGTGCACAACAGGGCTTCCAGAACAGTACTTGGTGGTAAGGGGCACCACCAAGCGTTCCAAAGTATTCTTTGGAAAATCTGTGGGGGGCCTATCAAAAGTTAATTATAGATGTCATGTGGGTCCTTGGTATGGCTACTCTATCAACCTTCAACACATGTGTATCAAAGACCTAATAAGGACCCTTCAAAGTTTAAAACCACAAACTTAAGAAGAGCTACATCGCCACACTCTCCTATGTTTTATATATAACCAGTCCATAGCACCAACTACAGAGGAAATATCATCTCTCCTAACTTTCACAGTATATAACGAACTGAATGCTCAATGACATTTTGTCCAAAAGCTGAAACTAAACAGAAATTTCTTTATGAGAAAAATGGCCACTCTGTCATCCATGAGGCCATAGAGGCAGGAGAGACTTGCTACACGTAGGATAGACAATATGCCAGACACCTCCACCTATATTCTGTACCTCTCACTCCTTAAAGCACAAAGGGTTTTCATAACTGACATTACAATATATTCTGCTTTAGATATTCATAAAAAATCATCAAAAATTTATGAGTTTGAAAGTCTAGTTCATTCATCTTGTTGAGTTTTTCTATGGTACATAATTAAGTGGAATCACCAAGAAGTAATACACATAGATCACATTATCTGTTTCATGTAGATGTATCTTTATGAATCAAGATTTAACTTCCTTACACCATGAGAATGATCATAAGTGTGCATTTCTCTTTTGACTCTGACAGGAAGCAGTTCAACACTCAGCATGAGGCTCAAAGCTTACTAAGGCTGGTAGTGATCCCAACAAACTTCCCCTGTCCGTGTCAAAGGCAAAGACAAAGACATTGGGAAAAAGGCTTCCTGAGGGTTTGTAGAAGTTAATGGTGGTGCATTCTTGCACAGGACTCTGACATCATCTGAGCTGTTAGCATCCTGATTCTAGGTAACTAACTAACCCTAGGTAACTAACTAACTAACCCTAGGTAACTAACCCTAGGTAACTAACTAACCCTGATTCTAGTCCTATCCTTTGACAGAAAAGTAGAGTGTGAGATTTAGAACAGAGTAGGGATTTGATAACCAGCAAGCAAGCAAGATTATGTGCAGTATTCCATTATGTGGTAAAGCTGTGGCAATATTTTTTAAAAAATCATTAGATTTTTTTTTTCAGTGCTTAAGATTGCATTCAGGGCACTGAGCATACTAGGCAAGCTCTATTCCAGTAAGTCATACCTCCAACTTCCACCAAAACATTTGAAAGAATTAGTCATCAAGTTCTGAGAGGCATCTACATTATAGCTTTTTTTTTTAAAGTCTATTTTTATTGTATTTTGTGTATTTCATACAGAACATCTCAATGAATCCTAACCATCTTTATATGCCTGTCCCCACTGACACTCTCCCACAGCCCCCCACTGGAGCCCAAATACTCTGTCATCTCTGTTAAGGCCCACTGTTGCTGTGTCTCCAGATGCTCCCCAGTCCAAGTCCATTCGCTGAGGTCTAGGAGACTGTCTAGAGTAGCTTTTGTGATAATCACACCGCATGTCTCTCTGTGTGTCACTGGAGTGTAATCATACATAACAATTCTCACCTTTACGCCAGCTAGCATTCCAGTCGTGGACACACTGAAGTCAAGGTAGGCTAGTGTGTCTGGGTTGGAAGGTTTGTAGATCTGGGCAGGCCGTTTCTTTGGCAAATCATCTGGAGAAGAAAATAGAGCTTTCAGTCTACCTGCTCTAACTCAGGCCACACAGGCAAATGCATGCAGGCAGCCAGTCTAAGTGCTGACCTGTGTCCAGTATGAGGGGCCACGTCCTGACATCTACAGCTGCTGCTGCCTCCCTGGACCGCAGCAGCTTGCAAATTAGCTGTGTAGTCATGAGGCAGGCGGAGCGACTCACCTGAGGACCAGAGACAAGAGGAAAGGAATAAATGCACACCAGAAACAGAAACATCTGGGGAGTGCACTCATTACATCTGTGCATGGTGCTTCTCACAGGTTAAAAACACAGCTTGCTGGGAGGATTAGATTCCCAAGAACACTGTTTTCTCTGAACTTGAGGGTGTGAGGGTGATCTGGCTGCAAATATCACCCTATAGACTGCCAGAGTTGATTTAGCTGATCTAGCTGGCTAGACAGGTGTCCCCTTCCTCCCTCACTGCTCCACAGGCATCTCTGCCAAAGCTTCACTTCTGGTTGAAGAGGATGACCATTCTCTAGTCAAGGGTCTATCAGCCACTGCACTCTCCTGCTAGAACTTCCAAATGAGCTCTCAAGAGCCAGCCAGGGTATAGCAGCAGCAGGAGCTGGTCATGCACACACAGACACACAGGCAGAGCACGGGCTCTGAGGCTGGGTTCCTGCACCCCTGAGTGTGAGGTCAAGTAGTGGCCAGTGTTACTTTCACACCCAGGGGGAGCATCAGAAGCTCCTCTCTTAGCATGAGCTCTTTTTTACCAAAAGCCATGTAGATGAGCCCTCAGTGTTTGCTAATCTGAGTGCCCACCACAGCAATGTTCTCACACAGCTACAAAGAGAGCTCACGAGGACAGGACTATTCTCCAACTAATTCTGCTTCTTAGGACTTTGCCTCTAATAAGCAAAACACACATGCTAATCTCTTTAACTTCCTCAGGTATTAAAAAAAAAAAAAAAAAAAAAGCAAAGCACATATCTAGACTCTCAAAAAAGAAACCTCCAGATCCAGAAGGGCTTGATAAGGAAGCCCTCCATGGAGCCATCCCAGGGCACTTTATGCTCAGCGTGTGGCACAAGCTGCTTCCTGCCCTGGCTTTCATGCTCAGCTCATATCCTGCTCCCAGTGCTAAATGATAAACTCCCTGGAGACAGAGATCATTTCTAATCCTGTTGCTTTCACTGCAGACTCACATGCATGGCACAGCCAGTGGCTTCCCTCAGGAGATGTGAGGTGATCTGCAGCTCAACACTGAGCACAGATGGGTGAAAAGGCCCACAGCTCCCCACCCAGGTCATGGTTACCTCCACAATCATCTTGACTGTAGGCAATGTTGTTGCAATGTTCTGTGGGTGTGGTGGTCGCACCGTGATTGGCACACAGCCTGCATACAGGCAACCATAAAATGCTGCGATGAGGTCTATTCCTACACAGGGAGGAAAGTGGAAAAATCTTGCTTGAAGCTGACCACATTGTTTAATAATCACCACTGCTCTCAGCACAAGTTTTAGTCCGGGAAGTTAGACAGTTAAGGGAGAAAGACATCTTCTTCTCCATGGGATTTGGTAAGTCTCAAGCATTAATTTCTTTGCTCTGTTCTTTTACAAGAGGCCATGACAACCTTAAAGTTTGATTTGTATATCATTTCTCTTGAGAACTACTCAACATTTAGGTTTAGGAGATACAGACGTAGCTTTATCAACATCAACCAAGTGAATGACCTACTCCAGTAATCTAATCAAATGAACCTGTAAAGAATCTAAATGAACACAGAGAACATACTTGGCAGCAACCCAGCAACTCTCGGCAAGTGCCACGGGGGGGCAACGAGTGCCTCTTCCCGCTGCTGGCCTTGCTACCTCTGGAGAGTCAGGTCTGGTGCCACTGCTTTACCTGGAGGGTAGACCAATGCCACGTGGTCTCCATCCTGAAGGTGGCCCCTTTCCATCAGCATCACTGCTATCTTCTCTGCACGCTTGTGAAGTTGTACACATGTCAGAGAGTTCGCTATCGTTCCCTGAAAATCACAAGAACAGGCAGTTATGGGAGATCTTCCCCAGAGCAGCTTTACTGGGATACAGTTCATGTATCACATAATCATTTACAATAACATCCACAGGTCAGTGGTATTTTTGGTATATTCAGAGAAATGAACCATAATTACCACAGTCAACTAAATGTGTCCATCAGCAACTTCTACTACTCCAACCCCACTATGTCCATTAGAAGTTAATCTCCTTTTCCTCCAGTCAGGTAAGTAGTACACCAAAGAGGTATCCAGATATACTTGTGTTAACAGGAAGTATTTAATCAGAATCTAACTATTATCTAAAGAGATAGCAGAATTTTAAAATGTTTTTATTGATTTAAGAATGCCATAGGATGAATTTTGATCATATTCAGACCCTCCACCCCTCTCTACCCTCACCTTATTACCCCCACTTCATGTCCTCTATTATCTGTATTTATTTTACTTTTATTTTGTGTGTATGAGTGTATTGCCTGCATGTGTGAAAGTACACCCATGTCACATAATGCCCATAGAGGTCAGAAGAAGGTGTCAGATGGTTGTTAGCCACCATGTGGGTACTGGGAATTGAACCCAGGTCCTCTGCAAGAGCAGTCAGTGCTTCTAACTACTGAACCATCTCTCTAGCCCCTTGTCTTTACTTTTTTAAAGGTCTGTCAGGTCGAATCTGTGTTCCCCAAGTGCTCTTGGATGTGGGTCTATCCCTTTGAGTCTGTTCAACCTACCAGGCATTGCACCAGTAAGGAAAACTGACTCTCCCCTGCTCAGTATCTATCAGTTGCAAACAGATCCTCAGCTGGGGCTGGGGCCTCCTGCCTACCTCCCCCATCCATGCTGGGCCCTGTCTGGCTTGGTCTTAATGCATGCAGACAGCAGAATATTTTAAAACTGAGCAACTTTGTGACTTAAGTAGATTTTCTACAGACAGTAAGAATTATCATAAAGCTAAAAGACTCCTACATGAAAAAATAAAGATGGATTGAGATTTTTAATAAGAAAAGCCACTCAACCAAGCATGGTAGCTCATATCTGTAATCTCAACACTAAGGAGGCTGAGCCCCGAGGATTGCCAAGAATTCAAGGGTAGCCTTAGCTATCAGATGAGACTTTATCTTAAAAAACTGAATGAGAAAAGCTACTTCTAATCTCAAGGAAGTTGAGGCTGGGGAGATAGCCCAGCAGTTAAAGCAATTGCCATGTGAGTGATGGAACTGACGTCTGGATTCCCCAGAACCCATGTGGTGGGCACAGTGGCCTGTGTGTAAATTCTAGCTTCAGAGGGAGTGGCTAGACGGACTAGCCATACACGCAAGTTTTGGGTTTGACTGAGGCTCACTCAAAGAACAGGGTAGAAAAGCAATCAAGGCTGATTCCCCATATCAAACCTGGATCTTCACATGCAACAGCACACACATGCCTGCACACCTGCACACACCTACATACCACACATATATACAGAGGAAAATAATTTTTAAAAATCAAGAAAGTCAAAGGCAAAAATCAAACCAAACAAAAAAAAATGACAGCAATAAAACCCAAAAACTTAAAAAAATGCATTTTATTTTAAAAGTATAATATTTTATTAATTTTTTGAGAATTTCATACATGGATATAATGTATTTTAACTATATTCACCCTCCACTCCCCGCCCAACCCTTCCCAAATCCACTCCCAACTTCTCCCTCTCAATTCTTTAAAACAGTTTTTATTAATTTGTAATTTTTAGGGTTGGAGAGATGGCTCAGTGGTTAAGAATGCCGGCTGTTATTACAGAAGACCCGGGTTCGAATCCCAGTACCCACATGGCAGGTAATAAGTGTTCATAACACCAGTTCCAGGGGATCCTATGGCCTCTTCTGTCCTCTGTGGGCATTGCACGGCACGAGTGCACTTACCTACATGCAGACAATACACACATACACATAAAATAAAATGAAAAATAATAAATAAAAAATATTTTTAAAACTTAAAAAAATTTTCTAATTTTTTTTATGTGTATGACTGCTTTGCGTGCTTATGTATAAGTGCACCACATGCAGAGCTAGAGTTAGGGATGGTTTTGATTGCCACGTGGGTGCTGGAAACTGAATCTGAGTCCTCTGCAAGAGCAGCAAGTGATCTTAACCACTGACCCACCTCTCCAGTCCCCACCTCCCCCAACCCCTTTTTAAAAAACAATTCGTGCAGTCCACTTTTTGCTGCCCATACAGTCATAGGTTTGGAGCCATCCATGGGAATATGCTCAGCCTACCAGGAGTCACATCCTTAAAGAAAACTGAAACTCCCTCTCCCAGAAGCCATCAACTGGCTACGGCATCTCAGCTCTGAGTTCAGGTGCATTTTCACGTAGACTTTCAAAATATGTAAAAACAGACAGAAAATACGCATGGACTCAAATACCTTAAAAGAGAGTTACTAGGGAAGACTGGTAGCAGGCTATTTACACTGTGAAGAAAAGCACAAATAAATCATAAATTATAGCTGGGCATCCTGGTGCAAGCCGGTAATCAGAGTTAGAAGCCAGCCTGGTCTACGTTAATGAATTTGAGGGCATCCTATACTACACAGCAATAACCTCTTTTGTCTCAAAACAGACAAAAGGACTTTTAAAAGATAAACTCTCTTCCACGAATTATAAACATTCAACTAACAACAAAAACTCTTGAGGACCCAATTTCTAGTTCATTCACATTAATAACGGATGTGAAGAGATCACTGTCTACAGCTTCTTTATAAATAGGCCTTTCTTTAAACAACAGGTAATTCTGGCCCAGCAGTGTGTGAAGTGAGGAAGACTACAGCAGCTGAAAACGAGGCTAAGCACATTTAAGTGGGGAGCTTGAAAGAAGAGTGCGGGAGCTGGTGGAACCCACAGGGAAGCACAGTGAGGGACTGAAATCCCTGACCGAATGCTATGTATGAACATGAGGTCCAAGAGGAGCTGGAGCGAGGAGCAACACCATGGAAAACAGTTCTAAGGGCAAGGTGGCCAGAGCTGCCAGGGCTGTGAGGATGCAGGGTCAAAAACATACAAAACACCAAATTCCCAGCCCAAATGACCTGGTAGAAACATACATGTGGATGGGGAGGAAGGGACCTGATGGGAAAATATTTTATAATGCATTAAGATACACATATTCGCGGGGGGGGGGGGGCTGGAGAGATGGCTCAGCAGTTAAGAACACTGACTGCTCTTGCAGAGGATCCAGGTTCAATTCCCAGCACCCACATGGCAGCTAACAACCTTCTACAGCTCCAGTTCCAGGGGATCTTCTGCCCTCTTCTGATCTCCACAGGTACTGCATGACACAGATGCACCTACCTACATGCACACATTACACTCATACACATAAAATTAAAAAATAAAATATTTTAAAGAAAGATACACATATGGTTGTTTTGTATTTAGCAAAAGCATTTACCAAACAATTCCTTATCACAGTGGCTCTGTGAGGCTGAGGTACTGTCTTTTAGGACCTGTAGAAGGAAAGGCAGTGTAAAGCTCCCCAGGTAGTTGCTAAATTGGCCTTCAGCCCTTCCCACTGATGCTGTGACTAGTGTTTTAGAGGAGATGCTTAGCTTACAAGTTTCTGAATTGAGTCTTCTCTTTCCACACACTTTCCTTTGTTTATTTGCATCTGAGGAAGATTCAAACAGTAAGAAAACAGAAATATATATAAACAAGAGCAAGAATGAAGGCAGGACGCAGCTAAATGCTGAGATACAGTGCTATGAGACAGCATGACTCTAGAGATATAGCTCAAAGCTGGAAATGGGTGCCTTCATAAGTGTTTATTCACAGAGACACATCTGTTGCCATGAATCAAAGCACACTTGGCTGGAGAGATGGCTCAGTGGTTAAGAGCACTGGCTGCTCTTGCAGAAGACCTAGGTTCAGTTCCCAGTACCCACATGGCAGCTAAAAACCAGCCTAACTCCAGTTCCAGGGGATCCAACACCATCTTCTGACCTCTGTGGGCATTGTATGGCATGGGTGCACTCACCTACATGCAGGCAATACACTCATACACACACAAAACACACACTCCTGGACTTAAGGTTCATGAGCTCTTCAAAGTGTCTTTGAGACAAGAACGCATAGCACAGTTCATGGTAAGGTTGGGACTACCTTAATGCCCACACTTGGGTGGGAGCCCCATCAAACCTACTTTGAAACTGGTGTGGTTTTTAAATGAATAAATAAATAAATAAATAAATAAATAAATAAATAAATATTTATTTATTTATTTATTTGTATAAGTGTTTTGTCTCCATGTATATAAGTGTACCACATGTGTGCAATGCCTGTAGAAGCCAGAAGAGGGTATTGGATCCCCTAGGACTGGAGCTATGGATAGCTGTTAGCTACCATGTGGGTGCTGGGAACTTAACCTGGGTCCTCTGTAAAGGTAGCTAGTGCTCTTAACCACCGAGCCATCTCTCTAGTTTATTTTTTATTTTATGTGTATGAGTGGTTTGCCTGCATGTCTGTAAGTGCAGCACATGTGTGCAATGCCCACAGAGGCCAGAAGAGGGCAGAAGATCCCCTGGAACTGGAGTTATGGACTGTTGTTATCTGCCTTGTGGGTGCTGGGAACTGAGCCTGGGTCCTCTGCAAGAACATACAGTGTTCTTAACTGCTGAGCCATCTTTCCAGTGCTGTGTGATGGTCTTTTTACAAGGATAGTTAGCACACCACCTGTGGTCACACATGGGGGATAAGCCTCATAGCATAGTGGCAGAATATCTCAGAAGGGAGTTGGCACAACAGGCATACCCATTTGTCCCCATGAAGGGACTCCTGTTACAGAGGACCGCCCCATCCCCCACCACCCCGCTGTTATAGTATGCCTGTCTTAGCCTAAGGTTTGTACAATTTCTTTAACTGGTTTTCCTCCTGTCCTCAGGAGAGCTAAAGTGGATCCCTACTGTGACTTGGATAGAATCTGAGTTTTTCTCAAAGCATTGTGGGTTAAAAGTTATACTCA